CAGCACCAGGTCCTGTGCTGAGCTCTGAACACCCCTGGGCTGAGCAGTGGGTGCTGCTGTCCCAGGTCTCTGTGGAGGAGCAGCGGCTCAGGGTGGTTAGGGGGCTAGCCAGGACGGGCAGAGCCTGGCGGGAACCCATGTCAGCCTGGGACCAGCAGAGTCGGGCACTGTGACTGTCTGTGGGTGGACCCACAGGGTCCACAGAAACCCCAGCGGGTTCTGGGGTTGGAGACCACCGAGCAGGCTTCTTCCCTGTTGCTCACCTCCTACCCGTCACCTGCCCCCGGTGCCCTCCCTCCTGGGTGGCTGACCCCTCCCTCTGCGCAGGAAGACGCTGCAGCTGTCCCGGCAGCTCAGGGACCAGGCGGTGGAGGCGCAGGCCTGCTACAGCCTGGGCAACACCTACACGCTGCTGCAGGACTATGAGCGCGCGGCCGAGTACCACCTGCGGCACCTGCTCATTGCCCAGGAGCTGGCTGACAGGTGTGTGCCGGCATGTGCACGGTGGGCAGGCCCAGCCTGGACCCAAGCCCCTGCTCTGCCACTGACCACAGCGTGACCCCAAGCAGGGCGGCCCTGCCTGGGCCTCAGCCTGCCCCTCGGTCGGTGGGCAGCGCTACTGTGGGAACTGAGCGGGACAGAGTGGACGTTGGGCTGGCCGTGTGCGGCAACCCTTGGCACTAGTTGGTGGGGCTGGCTCCCCTTCCCAGTCCAGCCCCCGCCTTGCCCACCCGTATATATATGTAAATATCGGGCTTTCCAGAGAGAGGCGGACAGACAGACCACCGATTCCTAAGCACGGTCCTACGTGCAGGTCAGGGGTGAAGTGGAGAGGAGGCTCTTCTAGAAGGCTGCCCTGCCAGGAGGCTTAACGGGGGCGCGAGGTTTTTCTCTGGGGGGTGGTGGTGAAAGCGTTTTGGAAGCAGGTGGAGGAGGTGTGGATGAACTCAGTGCCTCTTTAGCACGGCTGAGTTTAAGTCGGGTGCCTTTCGCCTCGGTTTAAGAATAGATGGCCTGGGGCTGGGGTGCTGCCCGCAAGGGTGGAGGGAGCCGGAGCTGCAGGGGAAAGACCCTCGCCGGCCACCAGGGGGCGCGCCAGGCCTCGCTCCGGGAGCACAGGGGCTGCCCGAGGCTGCCGGGACGTTACAGGACAGGCCACTTCGCATGCTTGGTCTCGTGTGCTAACGCTTTTAATGGGAGGGAACAGAGTGCAGCTCGGTGGGCCGATGGTGGCAGGACTGGCCCAAGGTCCTGGCTGGTGCGGGCGGTGCTGTCACTGCAGCCAAGAATGTCGTCCTACTGCCCTAAAGGTGCCTCTTGGGCCTGGGGGCCCCCTGGTGATCTTTGGGCCAGGTCACATGGCCTCCTGGGGTCACAGGTGTGGCACCTGCCATCATGACTGGGCCCTGACCACCAGGAGGCTTGGGG